TCGGCGTCCTCGTCCCCTTCGGCGTCCTCGTCCCCGCACCCTTCGTCCGCGATCCCCGCCACTGAGCCCGCCGACCCCGCCTCGGGCAGCAGCAACAAGAGGAAGCGCGACAACAAGGCCAGCACCTACGGACTCAACTACAGCCTGCTGCAGCCCAGCGGAGGGAGGGCCGCAGGGGGCGGCCGGGCAGACGGCAGTGGGGGCGTGTACAGCGGAACCCCGTGGAAGCGGAGGAACTACAACCAGGGAGTCGTGGGGTGAGTGCTGGCCCTGCGGCCTGGCCCTTGCACACGCGCAGCGGGGCACACGCCCACAAGGGGGGGGTGGGGGGAGCCCGGGCGAGGCCACCCCCCAAGGCCTGCTGCCACTGCTGCTCTGCAGGGGGCTCGTGGCCTCCCCTCTCCTCCTCTAGCCATCCACACCTTACACCAAGCCTCCTCCATCGTCCACACCTTTCTCCTCTCCCCTCAGCGGTCCACGCCTTTTCTAGACATTCCCTCGGCCATCCACACCGGCTCCTCACCTCCCTTAGTCATCCACACCTTCCTTCTCTCTCTCCTACCCTCCCATACGGCCTCAGGCTTCCCCTTTATACATCCCCTCTTTCCTCCCATCCCCCTTAGTCAGACACACCTTCCCTGGACCCCCTTTCCAGCCCTCCACACCTTCCTCCCCATCATCCCACCCCAAGGTGAGGTTGCTTAGCATGGGCATGCCATTCATTCTCTGCAAACATTGGGGTGTTAGTGTTTTTTGGTAGTACCGGACCTGGAGGTGCTTTCCTTGCCAGGAATAGAAACATCCAGAATGCTCCTCCCCTCCCCCAATCCCAGACAGGAATCATGTCAGCCCTTTAAGGCATTGCCTGCTCTTGACCCTTTGGCCCATCTTTTTATTTAAAAAAAAATTCCCTGTCTTCCCGATGCCCTTCTTTGGGGAGGGAGGAATGAGGTGACAGTTAAGTTTAGGCCAGTAGAGGTGAGCTCTTCTTCTGAGGCTCTGATAGAACTTTCCAGGAGTTCATGGTCCGTGGCTCCAGCTCTCTTACTATACAGTTGTCATCCTGGTGGAGGCGGCCAGTGCTTTTCATTCTAGGGGGTAACTTTATGCTAATGAGTGAATGTTGCACCACTGGTGACTGTCTGTTTAAAGTTCAGCTCTTACAAAATGGAATCTTACCTGACCCCTAGTGAATTATGTACATAAGCGGGGAGTATTTCCAGCCAGATTTTCCTTCTGGAAGAGCCCCTGTTCTGGAGTAGGTTATTGAGTCTTTTTTCTTTTGTAAAATAAAGCTTTGGGACCATATTTTCTGTGTGTGTATGTGTGTGTGCGCACACATACGCGTGCCCCCGTGTGTGCGTGTGTATGTGTGTGAACTTGTGTGTATTTAGCTTGAATATGGAAACTGGCTTTGCAGTTGCTTTTCATTTTTCAGGTCTTTTTTTATATCAAGGGCTACAGTAGGCAAATTGAATCACCAATTACTAATCCCATGTGAATCTTTTCTTAGATTCACCCATTCAAAGCTACCCTGCTTTGGCAAGGAGAGACAGTTCTGTGTACCTTTTTGAAGGTCTGGGTAAAGTGAGTTGGTGGGTTCCATCTGCTCTAGTGAGCTGGATGTCTACTGTCTGCTACTATTACAACTCCCACCTTTTATGGACAATTCAAATGCAGCCAAGGGTTTTAGGACTGTGGCCGGGGTCCATGTCAAACTAGCACTCTTATTTCCAGAGGGTAATCCTTTAGGGTTGAGTTCTCTGTTGCTAAGCTTCAAGGGCGCTCTCCATGGTCATCACGTTTTATTAAAGGCTTGTGGTTCCATCCTGTTAGCATTTCCAAGGGGAAGCATGAACCTGTGGTCCAATGACAAGCAAATTGAATCTGAGGGTTTCTGGTAGTTTCATTTCACAGGAACAAGCTCCAGTTAAGTAATCACTGTCAACTACAACCTTGAAGTTCCCTAATTGCAGTTTACTGAAGCATCTTTCCACACGTAGCTAGAAAAGATATATTACAGGTGAAAAACACTAACTACCTCTTTTTGGTAGAAGTCGTCTTCTCATCTGCTTGCTGTTTAACGTAGAGGATTCTGTGAAAGGCTCACATTTGAACTTAGGTAGAAGTGAGAATTCTTGTTCTGATTCAAGTAGTATATTACCCTCAGAGGGATTAGGAGAGGAATTTTCATTTCTCAAAGGGATTACTGTTTTAAAACTGATTGTAAACCTGTTTTAAAACTGCTTACACTTCATCAGACTTCCCATTCTTTTTCCTTCTTCCTTAGAAGATGTCAGCATTTCTTTCCATGCTGAGACCTCTTCGTTTTTTTTTTTTTTGGGGAGATTTTCCCTGTAGGGCGTGTGCGCTCGCCAGACAGACAGAGAGAGACATAGAGACAGAAAGCGAGAAATCACCCCCCAGGGTGGATGGTCACGCCGCAATCCCCTCTCCTCCATTCTCCTCTCGGGATCTTGGGCACGCACGCACACATGCCCGGCGTGAGTTTTAAGCCATCGGGTCCAGGACACGAACCGCGGTCGACTACGTGGGAGTCCAGCGACATAGCCATTACGCTAACTGCTGGTTCCCGAGACCTCTTCGTTTTGAAGAGAACCTATTAAGCAGTTCCTAAGAGGTGGTTTTTTTTTTTTTTTTTTTTTGGGTAAGATCATCTGGGTGCATAAAATTCTGGTTTTGAAATATGTATCTTCTTAGCTTTAAGGAAGTTTTGCCATTTTAAATATAGAGTGCAGCTCAAAGTTATGCTCTTCTGAGTTTAAATATAGTAAAACATTTACCAACATTTTCTAAGTTCTTAGGATATGATTGATACTTACAGGTTAACAAATTGTGGTGTTTTCTGGTCTCTGAACTGACGCTCTAGATAGGAAGACGAGACCAAAAAGCATGTGAAAAGTGGATTAGAACTATGGGTTAGCTGTTTATTCTCTTGCAGCTGTTTCTATCTTTCTTCCTTTTTTTTTTTTTTTTTTTTAATCTCTTGGCATTTTCTGCATATCCATATGGTTGACTTATTCCCTGATTACTGCTTTGAAATACAGTTCAAAATCTTGAGTTTTTCTTTTACCCATTTTTTGATGTTTTTGCTTCCTCTGGAATTCTTGAAGTACTTGCTTGGTGCTCTTAGTATATCACTTACGTTTAACTTTCCTATGTTTTTTCTCTTTTTTTTTAAAAATTATTTTATTTAACTTTATTATTATTTTATTTAGTTTTTAATTTGACCAGAGAGGGACATAGCAAGAGAGGGAGGAGAGAGAAAGAGAGAGCGCAAGCTGCCAGGTCTGGGACTCAAACCATAGTTGACCATGTGGGAGTACAATAACCTTAAGCACCGTGCCACCTGCCAGCCCCTATGTTTTTTCTCTTATCACTAATGTAGTTTTTGAAAATGAAACTCCCCTGTATTCACCTTCTCAGCCTTTATTCCCATGTGTAGATGGGCACGACAGAGAGGGAGAAAGCACCCCTTACCCCTCTCCACCCCCCCATAGGTCACAGTCATGCTTTCTCTTCCATGGTTCCATTCTGTTGGGATTAGGGGCATACACACACATGTGCCCAGCATGTGTTTTCAAGACATTGCAGCTGGGATTTGGACCATGACTGGCCATGTGGCATCTTGCACCCTTAACCACTAAGCCATAGGTCTGGCCCCCTTTCTATTTTTTTTTTTTTTTAATTTAACTTAATTTATAAAACTTACGCATTTCTTCCATGAGCGGGAAAGAGACAGAGAAGACAGCACCCTCAACAGGGTCCTGACACTGTGAACACACCTCCAGCTTCAACCAGCCCAAGAAGGGTAGTCTCTGGATGTTAACCTGGGACCTACCTGGTACCTGGTGTGGGTTAGTCTCCCAGAGCTTAGCTTTTTACCCCCGTGCTACATCTCCTCTCCACCCTTTTAAGGTACAGCTACTTAGTATGTTTTGTGGGTTTCATTCTCCTCCAGGGCTGGCTGTGGTTTAGGATGTAGTTTGCTTGCTCCTACTGCTTGCCCATGACAATGAGCCATAAAATCTTTTCAGAGATACTGTCAATCGTCATAGAGAAAGAATGGCAAGAAGTAGCAAACACAGGTAACTTAGAGAGATTCACCACTCTCGGGTCTTGAACCATGGTGTCCAGAAACTTCTTGTGGAAGGTGCTTGGTGTTTGTCCAAGCGCATAAGGATAGGTTTGTGTAGGCTGTATTGCCAGATCAGAAGTTGCCTTTTCAAGGTCCGAATGACTTGTTCAAAATGTTTTCAAGTATGCATTTGGTGGTGAGGACATCAAGAAGACCCATTGGAAAGCTTGGGTTTAGAATGGTGGGACTGTAAATGGGAAGGAAAAACGAACATGAGAGGTATTATGGGTAAGGGTGAAGAGGTTTATGATTCCCTTAGTGGGTTTCTTTTTTTTTTTTTTTTTAATTTTATTCATGAATTCATTTATTTTAATTTGACTAGAGAGACACACACAGAAAAAGAGAGGGAAAGTGAGAAAGCAAGCCACCAGGTCCAGCCATGTGGGAGTGTCTAGCACCTTAACCACCATGGCACCTGCTGGTCCCCCCCTTAATGGGTTGCGTACTCACACCACACCTTTGACCTTAAGTGGCCAGAGGAAAGTTGTTAACTGCTGAAAGACTAGGAAGATCTGGATCAGAAGATATGGTGACATTTTGGTGGAAACACATAGCAGGAAGTTGAGATTTAGGGGGCAAGGTATAGTGCTCTCACCGCAGTGGGGCAGGATCATCCAGTGTGTGTTACTGTCTAGCGCACATTGTCCACTTTGTCACAGGAAGCCAGAGATGCTGATCTTTCCTTCAGCACTGGCCTTATGGCTTATTTCTGCTTAGTTTTATACAGTATCTTTGGTGGGGCTGGGCTTCAAAGTAGAGATTACCATAGATTAAATATGAAAGAATTTAGAGAGACCAGCAGATGGCGTAATGGTTATGTCGCTAGACTCCCGCATAGTTGACTGCAGTTCAAGTCCCAGACCCTGTGGCTTAAAACTCATGCCAGGCGCATGTGCGTGCATGCACAACTCCCAAGAGGAGAATGGAGGAGAAGGGATTACGGCATGGCCATTCTCCCTCACCCCCCAAAGGTGATTTCTTGCTTTCTATCTCTTTCTCTGCCTCTCTGGTGAGTGCTTGTGCCCTCTAGCAAAAAAATCTCTCTTAAAAAAAAAGAAAAAGAAAAAAATTAGAGGTCTTACTGCAATCACCCATGCC